TTTCCAAATGAGATGCAAAAGTTGGTCTCATCAGAAAAGAGGACTTTGGACCATTGAGCAACAGACCAGTTCTGTTTTTTTTTAGCCCAGGTAAGACGCCTCTGATGTTGTTTGTTGTTTAGGAGGGGCTTGACAAGAGGAATACGACATTTGAAGCCCATGTCCAGGATCCGTCTGTGTATGGTGGCTCCTGATACACTGACTCCAGCCTCAGTCCACTCCTTGTGAAAGTCTCCTTTTCCTGACAATCCTCTCCAGGCTGCGGTCATCCCTGCTGCTTGTGCACAGTTTTCTTCCACACTTTTCCCTTTCACATAACTTTCCCTCCTTATGGAGGGTGTCAATGATGGTTTTCTGCACAACTGTCAGTTCAGCAGTCTTTCCCATGGTTGTGATTCCTACTGAACCAGACTGAGAGACCATTTAAAGGCTCAGGAACCCTTTGCAGGTGTTATGGCTTAATTAGCTGATTAGAGTGGGACACTTTGAGCCTAGCATATTGAACCTTTTCACAATATTCTAATTTTCTGAGATTGTGGATTTGGGGTTTTCATGAGCTGTAAGCCATAATCATCACAATTATGACAAATCAGGGCTTGAACTATCTTGCTTTGCATGTAATGAGTCTATCTCATATACTGTATTAGTTTCACCTTTTAAGTTGCATCACTGAAATAAATGAACTTTTGCACGATATTCTAATTTTTTGAGTTTCACCTGTAAGCACTAAGCTAAATCTCTTCCAGAGAACTGGATTGTGATCAGGAAACTAAATGTGCTATATGTGCGTGTTTGGGAAGAGCTCCAGTCTAAAGCCGCTTGTTACAAGAATTGTTGGATGCTTGGCTTCCGGTTTTGCGCGGCTTCGGTAGCGGCAGGAATTCGCGCCTCTGTGATCCCTGCCGCGTTCGCCGCCAAGGTGCCCCCGATCTAAATAGGTCTGGGGGCTATGGCTGCCTTGTAGAGGCAGCCGAAGAGAGAGGGGATCCGGACAGAGGTTTGCGGGTAATGCAGACCCCCTTTCCAGCCGGAATAACCCCTTTTTCCTGAGGTGGTGGAGCGGCGGTCAGTAATGGCCGCCTCAAAGAAGCCAGCAGCCGGGTAAGATTTGTGCTGGAGGAAGAGGGAAGAGCTGTGGAAGTTGCTTCTGACTGGGATAAAGTTAAGAGAGAGAGTTCCTGTAACCTCGAAGGCTGCTAAGGATACTTTGTTTCTAGAAAGAGATACAAGCCGCGAACATTTCAAAAGAGTAAGTTTTTTGGTTTTTTTTTGCCTTTCACTCTCCTCCCTAACGTGACAGCAGTGGAACCATAAGAGAAATCCGGGAATCTCTTCTGGAGGTAAATGAATATTGAAGGAGCAAGGATTTCTGAATATTCAAAGGGGGAAAAAAAAAAAGAAGAAGAATTTTTTTTTTTTGGCTGTGAGTGGGAAGGGAGAGGGAAAAAAAAAAATTGGAGCAACCTGAAAATAAGGAGAAGACTGCCTAAAACTTTAAAGAGCTAATTTTAAAGAGCTATTAAACAGCAATAAGATTTCCTAAAGATATATTTTAAAGAGAACTTTGTGATCAAACTTTATCCCAAAAAGAGAAAGTGGAAAAAGAGAAAGTATTAAAAAGAATCAGCTGATTAGACTGTTTGATGACTTTGGATTTTATGAGAATTATCTCAGACTAAAAGCACTCGGGTGGTTGTTTTGAAAAAAAATGTTCTCTGTACAATGGCATCAGTTGTGGATGAACTAGAACTTATACACCAAAAATATGAAAGAGAAAAGCAAGAAGGGAAAGATGTCTTCGGCACTCTTTTTCAGTTTATAGAAATGGAGGTCTGTGCTTATGTAAAATCGTATGAGCAGGATAAAGAAGAAGCCATTTTTGAAGAACATGTGACTTTGGTTGGGGAAGAAAAGAAGGAGGAGAAAAAGGAGAAGAAGACTTTAAGACCTGGGAAAACAATCCAAAAAGAGAAGAATAAGGTGAAAAGAGGATATCGTGTTAGGAAACAACAGAAAGAGGGAAAACAGGATAAAAGGGAGGTGGAGAGACAAAGGGGTAAAGAGGATAAGGAGAAGAAGAAGCAAGGGAGAAAGGAAGGAATAAGAAACTTTAATGATGGGGAGCAAAATGCAAAAAAACAAAAGTTTTTCAGAGATAATGGATAGATTTTATTGGAAAAGGGATTCTAGAAGGGTACATAAGATTGCATTTTTATATTTGTATTTAGAAATAATTATAGAAGACTGGAAATAATATGCAATTTAAAATGTGATAAATATTTAGTATAATTTAGTGAAATTTTTGTTAAGAGAGGGGAGTACTTTAATGAAATAATGATTTAAGATCGGTGATGTGGGGGGGGGGGGAAATAATTTTGGAAAGTATAAGAAGTGTTCCCATAAAGGTATGATAATTAATTGAAATGTGTAAAATGTCTAAAGATATAAATGATTGTTAACACCAATGATTAGGCTATGTTATACTAGTGAAACTATTCGTGAAATGAGAGGTTTGAAGAAGGAGAGGGGAACATGTAATGTAATAATGATTTATAATATGTGATGTGGGGGGTGGAATTAATATGGCAAATAGGTGCTCCCATAGAAATATGTGACCTAATTGATAAGAAATGTGCTAGATGTTTAAGATATGAATAAATATTAATATTAATGAATAGATTTGTATTGGTTTTGATGATATTGTATAATGTCAGAATGTACCAGACAGAATCCCAACGTAAGTTATATACTTTAAATCAAGTATTATAAATATAGGGGAAAGAGACATAGGCGTCACACTCCAATCAGTGTACAGGAGAAGGTTTTTCTTTTTTTTTTCTTTTAAGAAGAAAGATAAATGGATAGTTGGAAATAGAACAGACAAAGAATAAATATTATGATTTGAATTGAGAGGAGATAAATAAAATAAAATTGAGAAAATTTAAAAGAAAGGAGAAGCTATATAGAAAAATGAAAATGTAATAAGATATGGAATGGTATGTAAAATGAATATGAATTTGAATGTGTGTCTGTACCAAGAGTTTTGACCCGGGATTAAGCAACTTTCAGAAAAGAGATCTTTTATGTTTTTATGTCTTGAATTTTTGTATGTTTTGTATGTCTTTAAAAATTAATAAAAATTTGTTAAAAAAAAAAAAAAGAATTGTTGGATGCTTCTTTCATAAGAGAGGGGGGAGAGAGGGAAGAAAGACAATGTTTATAAGCTTAAGGGTTGACTGTTAACAGATGATCCCGACTAGGGTGGTCTTTGGGCCACATCTCAAAACAGACATTGGGGTTGTGGAGGGAGGGCACTGATTAATGTCTACATTTGGATCATGATCAGGATAAAAAGAGTTGAAAACCCATTTATTCTCCCCATCATGTGGGACCAGCATGATGCCAAGACAGTCTCTAGAGCTGGAGTAGGCCCTTGATTGAGAAAGAGAAGGCAATGCAGATTAAGAGCCCAGAGTAGCCTGTCCTATACACTTCCCTCTCCCGTCCTTGGGCTAGAGTAAGTTAAGGAAGGTACACAGAAAGCAGATTAAATTCTGTCATCTCCTCTTGTCTGTGAATTTGGGCAGGAATATAAGCCAGTGTCTAGGCCCAGGATGAAAAGTTCTTCACTGTCACTCTGAAAATTTCTAAGCATGCAGATTAACCCCACCACCAATGCAAACCCATGATTTTCTCCAGTTCAAAGGCCTGTTTGTTCCTCTCACTAGCCAAGCTGACTTCAAGGGACCCCTGGCCTTGGAGAGGAAGAAGCAGGGTTTCTGGCTGCAGCAACTCCAATTACACCCACAAACAAGACACATTGCACAATTAAAAATTCTGGATTTGTTGTATTGTGGGAGTATTTTTCTTTTCTTTTTTCCCCTCTCTTCTCAAGAGAAGAGACTATTTAGCCACACCCTGAAGAGATAACTTTATCTCCATTGCTGGAACACTATTCTTGGTCTGTCTTCATCTACAGATTGTGGAGACGCTGGGGGAGCAACCAACAGCAGTCAGGGACACAAGAATAGACTGCCAACATCATGTTTGCAGCTTCGATGTCTATCCATTTGGCGGGGGATAGGAAACCACAATCTGAGGAGGCACCAGCTATGCTCCAGAGGACGAGAATTCAACCTTCCATCTCACAGTCCAACCTTCTCCTGGTGATTGACAACTCAAAGGCTACTGACGATGACTGAGAGCCTTCCACTGTGGTACAGTTTCACAGCATCTCCCATTTTTGTTTTTTGTTTTAACTTATCGACCACTGGATAACATGCCCCGCCTCCCTCCCTTTTTCACCAGCCAATCCCCCATTTCCCTCCAGCCAAGTCTCCCGGTTCTCTACCAATCACTTCACGAGTAGGAAAAATGTGACCCGTTGAGGACGTGAGAAGTGACGCTGGCTGAACGGCTGATGCCCTGGTCTGACTGGCCACCAGAAGCTGTGCGCCGCAGTGGTTGGGGGCTGTTTCTCAGCATGACCACATTGGAGCGGCCACTAGGAGCTGAGGAGGAGGAGGAAGAGGAGGAGGGAGATGAGGAAGGGGGATGAAGCCAGGCTGAAGGGTTTGGGGCAAGCATGGGAGGCTGCCTCCATGCGTGAGGAGCACCAGCTGTATTCTGAACTCCATGGCTCCAATGGGAGCCGCTACGGGGAACTGGGCGGGAGGGCCAGGGCTGAGGAGGGGCCGTGTAGCCTTGGTTGAAGGCTTCAGCTGGAATGCCTGTGAGTGCCATATTGCTGAATCCCAGACGCATACTTTCAGAGTCGAAGGCTTCGATCTCCCGGGCCTGGCGCTCCAAGAGGTTGCGGATGCGATCAGAGCGTTCATTCTGCAAGGCCAACATCTCTTCTTCGATCTGGAGAAGGAAAGGGGAAAAATGCACCATGACTTCAAGTGCAAGAATCCACAAACACACTTGCTTGGATACCAGAGCAGCGGTGAGAAGCAGCCCTTTTGTCTCATTTGGTAGCTAACAAAGATATGCTGCAGATAGTCTTCAATTTACAATCATTCATTTAGTGACCATTGCAGTGGATCTGAAAAAAGTGACCTATGAGTGGTTTTCACACTTAATGACCATTGCAGCATCCCCATGGTCATGTGATCAAAATTCAGGCAGTTGCCAACTGGCTTGTATTTGACAGTTGCATTATCCTGGGATCATATAATCACCATTTGTAACCTTCCCAGCCGGCTTCTGTCAAAGTCATTGGAAGAAGCCAGGTTCACTTAATGACTGCATGGTTCACTTAACTGTGGGGGAAAAGGTTGTAAAATGGGGTAAAACTCACTTAAACCTGCTTTGCTTAGCAACAAAAAATTTGGGCTCAGTTGTAAGTTGAGAACTACCTGTGCCAAGATTATTAAAATTGGATTCAGTAACAACCTTCTTTAAGACAAACATGAAGTTGGACGAGTTGCTTAAATGAGGAACCGAGACCTAGCACTCAACACATCTGTCCTAAATTACAGATAACAGATAATCAGAGTTGGGACCTTGTAGGTCATCTAGTCCAACCCCCTGCCCAAGCAGGAGACCCTACACCATTTCTGACAAATGGCAGTCCAATCTCTTCTTGAAAGTCTCAAGTGATGGCACTCCCACAACTTCCGAGGGCAAGGTGTTCCATTGGTTTATTGTTCTCACTGTCAGAAAGTTTCTCCTTATTTCCAGGTTAAATCTCTCCTTGTTCAGTTTCCATCCATTATTCCTTGTCTGGCCTACAGGCGCTTTAGAAAATAGTCTGACCCCTTCCTCTCTGTGGAAGCCCCTCAAATATTGGAAGACTGCTATCATGTCTCTCCTGGTCCTTCTCTTTACTGGACCAGCCAAGCCCAGTTCCTGTAACCGTTCTTCGTATGTTTTAGTCTCCAGTCCCCTAATCATCCTGGTTGCTCTTTTCTGTACTTTTTCTAGAGTCTCAACATCTTTTTTATAATGTGGTGAACAAAACTGGATGCAGTACTTAGGTGCGGTCTTACTAAGGCTTTATAGAGTGGTATTAGCACCTCATTTGATCTTGATTGTATCCGTCTGTTAATGCAACTTAGGATTGCATTAGCTTTTTTGGCTGCTGCTGCACACTGCTGGCTCATATTTAGCTGGTTGTCCACTAAGACTTCAAGATCCCTCTCACAGTTACTGCTATTGAGCCTGGTTTCACCCAGTCTATATGTGTACTTTTGGTTTTTCTTGCCTAAGTGTAGGACTTTTCTCTACATTGAATTTCATTTTGTTAGATACGGCCCAGTGTTCTAGTCTTTCAAGATCCATCTGGAACCTGAGCCTATCTTCTTGGGTGTTAGCTATTCCTGCCAGCTTAGTATCATCTGCAAATTTGGTAAGTTCCCCTTCTATTCGCTCATCTAAGTTGTTAATGAAGATATTGAAGAGTACTGGGCCTAAGACAGAACCTTGTGGTACCCCACTGCTTACTTCCCTCCATGTATACTGAGGCCCATTAAGGACTACTCGTTGAGTATGGTTTGCCAGCCAGTTGCAAGTCCATCTAGTGGTGGTGCTATCTATTTCACTTTTTTCTAGCTTACTAAGAAGTAGGTTGTGGTCTACTTTGTCAAATGCCTTGCTGAAATCCAAATGTATTATGTCCACAGTATTTTGCTGGTCTACTAATTTAGTCACTATGTTGAAGAATGAAATAAGATTGGTTTGGCATGATCTGTTCTTAACAAACCCGTGCTGACTGCTAGTTATTTTTTATTTGTTTCTAGATGTTGCCAGATCTGTTTTTTATTATCTTTTCCAGTATCTTTCTGGGTATTGATGTTAGGCTTGATTCCTTGTCCCCAAAAGAGGCACATGGGGTAGGGCATATTTCATCATATGTACTCATATCCTCACTGTTTCAATCAGATGCCTGCAACTTCATAGTAGAACCTAAAGAACCATGAAAGATAAGGGAGATAGGACTTTTCACTCAGATTAATTAAAAAACTAGCTTAATAAAAACCACTTTAGAACAAAGTAACCCTATTTGTAATAGATTTTGCAAGTTTCTTAGGAATGCAAATTGCGCAGGAATTGAGGAATTAAAAATGAAATAATTGCTTTTGTCATGCTAGAGTCTCAGGTGCATCACAGTCCTATTCTATGGGGGTACTTTTACAAAGACAGGAGGAGTGTGTAATTGGAGTGTCCTGAATAATGCTTATTCCCAGCTATTTTTCTATGTTAAAAAAAGGAATTCAGTACTTTATGAAAGCAGAGTTCAGTATTGTTTTGCTGCCACAACTGAAATCAACTTGCCTAGTAGGGAACAAGAGGAGTATGTCTACTGTTGTTCAGTACTGTGGACACCACACAAAAACTGAACCATGAATGCCTCTGATTCATTTAGGAGGAAGAGAAGTTCTAAATCCAGAATAGAGAAATTGAAAATGGTTGGGAGCAGAAGGTGAGGAGTAACTTCATCTAAATAGCTGCAGAAGAACAAAGCTACAACTGAATTGAAGAACAGAAAATAAAAGAAGAAAACCCTAATATTCCACAGTTTTTCTTACTCAAAGCAGTAATACAGGTAGTGCTCGACTTGCAACCATTTGTTTGGAGATTATTTGGAAGTTACATGGTCTTGAAAAAGGTCACTTCTGACCAGTCCTTGCACATGACTACAGGTAGTCCTTGACTTACAACAGCTCATTTGGTGACCGTTCAAAATTACAATGGCACTGAAAAAAGTGACTTATGTTATGACCATTTTTCACACTTATGACCGTTGCAGCATCTCCATGGTCATGTGATCTACATTTGGATACTTGACAACTGATTCACATTTATGACCATTGTAGTGTCCCAGGTTCATGTGATCCCCTTTTTGCCACCTTCTGACAAGCAAAGTCAATGGGGAAACTGGATTCATTTAACAACCGTGTTACTTGTTTAACAACTGCAGTGATTCACTTAACAAATGTGGCGAGAAAAGTCATAAAATGGGGCAAAACTCGATTAACAAATTTCTCACTTAGCCACATAAATTTTGGGCCCAATTGTGGTTGTAAGTTGAGGGCTACCTGTATTGCACCATCCCCACAGTCATGTGATCATTTACGATGGTTGCAGTATCCCAAAGTCACATGATCACCATTTGCAGCCTTCCAACAAGTCAATTGGGGGGGGGGGGGGGGAGCCAGATTCTTTTAACAACTGTGTGATATACTTAACAACTGCAATAAAAAAAGGTTATCACACATGCCTTGCTTAACAATGGAGTTAGTCCTTGACTTACAACAGTATGTTTACTAACTGTTCAAAGTTACAACGGCGCTAAAAATGTGACTTATGACCATTTTTCACACTTATGCCCATTGCGGCATGCCCATGGTCACGTGATCAAAATTCGGATGCTTGGCAATTGACTCCTATTTATGACCATTGCAGTGACCTGGGATCATATGATCCCCCTTTTGCAACCTTCTGATAAGCAAAGTCAATGGAGAAGCCAGGTTCACTTAACTGTGTTACTATCTTAACTGCAGTGATTCACTTAACAACTGTAGCAAGAAAGATTGTAAAATGGGACAAAACTCACTTAACAAATGTTTCACTTAACAACAGAAATGGTGGGAAATACAGAAAGAACCACAAAAAATGAAACTAAAAAGCCAAATGGATTTAATAAAACACAAAATGAATCTATTGGAAAAAGATGAAGTGGCACAAAAAATTAAAAATGCAAAACAAAACTTTTTTGAAAATGCAAACAAATCAGGAAGATGGTTGGCATATAAACTGAAAAAGGAGAGCAGAAAAATGATACATCGACTAATAGATAAGAAAGGGATGCTTTATTACCAAAATGAGGATAAAAAAATAATAATAAAAGAGTACTATGGGAAACTATGTTCAGGAGAAAATTCCAGAAAATAAAATACAACAATATTTGGAACAATCTGAACTCCCTAAAGTACCTGAAACAATCAGTCATGTTGAATGAAAGAATAACTATGATGGAATTGACAGAAGCAATTAAGAGACAAAAGAGCAATAAAACGCCAGGGCCTGATGGGTTACCGGCAGAACTTTATAAAAAGTTACAAGATACATTAGGCCCAGTGATGTTGGAAGTTTATACTGAAGTTCTGCTAGAAGCAAAAATACCTAACTCATGGATGGAAGCAAATATTACTCTTATACCGAAAGATGACTCAGATTTAATGCAGATAAAGAACTACAGGCCAATATCTATATTGAATGCAGACTACAAAATATATGCTTCGATAATAGCAGAGAGATTAAAAAGATTTTTGAATGAATTTATACATCCAGTATAAGAGACGTGGTGGCTCAGGGGCTAAGAAAGGTCGGCAGTTTGGCGGTTCGAATCCCTAGCACCGCATAATGGAGTGAGCTCCCATTACTTGTCCCAGCTTCTGGCAACCTAGCAGTTTGAAAGCACGTAAAAACTAGGCACCACTTTGGTGGTAAGGTAACAGTGTTCTGTGTGCCTTCGGCGTTTAGTCATGCCGGCCACATGACCACAGAGATGTCTTTGGACAGTACTGGCTCTTCGGCTTTGTAACGGAGATGAGCACTGCCCCCTAGAGCTGGAAACAACTAGCACGTATGTGCGAGGGGAACCTTTACCTTTACACATCCAGATCAGAATGGATTTTTGCAAAAGAGACAGATTAAAAACAATATGAGAATGATCTTGAATACATTGGAGTACTATGAAACATCCTGGAAAACAAATGGCGTTGATTTTTCTAGACGCACAGAAAGCTTTTGATAACATTAATTTGCAATTTATGCTATTACAATTAAAATATATGGATTTTGGGGAGAGATTTATTAATATGATTAAAGCAATATATCATAAACGATCAGCCAAGGTG